GGATAGGAGCCACAGGTCTGGAACCTTCGACTGAGGTTAGATATTGACCCGGGGAATCGATTGCGACCCTTATTTTGGCGATCAGACGAAGCCTTGGGGCACTTTTGACGCGCCCCGTCCTTTAAGGGACGATTAAGGGATGAGGGATAGGAGCCACAGGTCTGGAACCTTCGACTGAGGTTAGATATTGACCCGAGGAATCGATTGCGACCATTATTTTGGCGATCAGACGAAGCCTTGGGGCACTTTTGACGCGCCCCGTCCTTTAAGGGACGATTAAGGGATGAGGGATAGGAGCCACAGGTCTGGAACCTTCGACTGAGGTTAGATATTGAACCGAGGAATCGATTGCGACCATTATTTTGGCGATCAGACGAAGCCTTGGGGCACTTTTGACGCGCCCCGTCCTTTAAGGGACGATTAAGGGATGAGGGATAGGAGCCACAGGTCTGGAACCTTCGACTGAGGTTAGATATTGACCCGAGGAATCGATTGCGACCATTATTTTGGCGATCAGACGAAGCCTTGGGGCACTTTTGACGCGCCCCGTCCTTTAAGGGACGAGTAAGGGATGAGGGATAGGAGCCACAGGTCTGGAACCTTCGACTGAGGTTAGATATTGACCCGAGGAATCGATTGCGACCATTATTTTGGCGAACAGACGAAGCCTTGGGGCACTTTTGACGCGCCCCGTCCTTTAAGGGACGATTAAGGGATGAGGGATAGGAGCCACAGGTCTGGAACCTTCGACTGAGGTTAGATATTGAACCGAGAAATCGATTGCGACCCTTATTTTGGCGATCAGACGAAGCCTTGGGGCACTTTTGACGCGCCCCGTCCTTTAAGGGACGATTAAGGGATGAGGGATAGGAGCCACAGGTCTGGAACCTTCGACTGAGGTTAGATATTGACCCGAGGAATCGATTGCGACCATTATTTTGGCGATCAGACGAAGCCTTGGGGCACTTTTGACGCGCCCCTTCCTTTAAGGGACGATTAAGGGATGAGGGATAGGAGCCACAGGTCTGGAACCTGCAACTGAGGTTAGATATTGACCCGAGGAATCGATTGCGACCATTATTTTGGCGATCAGACGAAGCCTTGGGGCACTTTTGACGCGCCCCGTCCTTTAAGGGACGATTAAGGGATGAGGGATAGGAGCCACAGGTCTGGAACCTTCGACTGAGGTTAGATATTGACCCGAGGAATCGATTGCGACCATTATTTTGGCGATCAGACGAAGCCTTGGGGCACTTTTGACGCGCCCCGTCCTTTAAGGGACGATTAAGGGATGAGGGATAGGAGCCACAGGTCTGGAACCTTCAACTGAGGTTAGATATTGACCCGAGGAATCGATTGCGACCCTTATTTTGGCGATCAGACGAAGCCTTGGGGCACTTTTGACGCGCCCCGTCCTTTAAGGGACGATTAAGGGATGAGGGATAGGAGCCACAGGTCTGGAACCTTCGACTGAGGTTAGATATTGAACCGAGAAATCGATTGCGACCCTTATTTTGGCGATCAGACGAAGCCTTGGGGCACTTTTGACGCGCCCCGTCCTTTAAGGGACGATTAAGGGATGAGGGATAGGAGCCACAGGTCTGGAACCTTCGACTGAGGTTAGATATTGACCCGAGGAATCGATTGCGACCATTATTTTGGCGATCAGACGAAGCCTTGGGGCACTTTTGACGCGCCCCTTCCTTTAAGGGACGATTAAGGGATGAGGGATAGGAGCCACAGGTCTGGAACCTGCAACTGAGGTTAGATATTGACCCGAGGAATCGATTGCGACCATTATTTTGGCGATCAGACGAAGCCTTGGGGCACTTTTGACGCGCCCCGTCCTTTAAGGGACGATTAAGGGATGAGGGATAGGAGCCACAGGTCTGGAACCTTCGACTGAGGTTAGATATTGACCCGAGGAATCGATTGCGACCATTATTTTGGCGATCAGACGAAGCCTTGGGGCACTTTTGACGCGCCCCGTCCTTTAAGGGACGATTAAGGGATAAGGGATAGGAGCCACAGGTCTGGAACCTTCAACTGAGGTTAGATATTGACCCGAGGAATCGATTGCGACCCTTATTTTGGCGATCAGACGAAGCCTTGGGGCACTTTTGACGCGCCCCGTCCTTTAAGGGACGATTAAGGGATGAGGGATAGGAGCCACAGGTCTGGAACCTTCGACTGAGGTTAGATATTGAACCGAGAAATCGATTGCGACCCTTATTTTGGCGATCAGACGAAGCCTTGGGGCACTTTTGACGCGCCCCGTCCTTTAAGGGACGATTAAGGGATGAGGGATAGGAGCCACAGGTCTGGAACCTTCGACTGAGGTTAGATATTGACCCGAGGAATCGATTGCGACCATTATTTTGGCGATCAGACGAAGCCTTGGGGCACTTTTGACGCGCCCCTTCCTTTAAGGGACGATTAAGGGATGAGGGATAGGAGCCACAGGTCTGGAACCTGCAACTGAGGTTAGATATTGACCCGAGGAATCGATTGCGACCATTATTTTGGCGATCAGACGAAGCCTTGGGGCACTTTTGACGCGCCCCGTCCTTTAAGGGACGATTAAGGGATGAGGGATAGGAGCCACAGGTCTGGAACCTTCGACTGAGGTTAGATATTGACCCGAGGAATCGATTGCGACCATTATTTTGGCGATCAGACGAAGCCTTGGGGCACTTTTGACGCGCCCCGTCCTTTAAGGGACGATTAAGGGATAAGGGATAGGAGCCACAGGTCTGGAACCTTCAACTGAGGTTAGATATTGACCCGAGGAATCGATTGCGACCCTTATTTTGGCGATCAGACGAAGCCTTGGGGCACTTTTGACGCGCCCCGTCCTTTAAGGGACGATTAAGGGATGAAGGAAGGGAGCTAGGGCAAAATAAATGTCATATTCGTGTTCCCCGTCCCCCAATTGACCTGATGGCAGTTTTTGAAGCGATTCTGAATCCGACGCTGTATTCGTTGCTGTTGCTGACGCTAACTTCACGGACATTGCTTCTGTGGGTGAAGCACTAAAGCATCACGGAATCCCAGAGGACCTGCGAGTCGACGAGGTGGCCGCTTTGGCCGCCGGGTACTGCAGCTCCCTGGAGTTGCCTGGGACCGATGGCAGAACAACAGCTCCGGCGGTGCCCCTATGGGCTATGGGCCGTAGTAATTAGTGAATTCCCGTAATGTAGAGATCATATCCTCAATGATCTCCATTACCATTTTATATCCCTAAACAATATGACAGACCAATTATGCTTGCCTACGTTCAGGCATTACCTCTGATGGTCATACGCCCAGTACAACATGTGTTGTCTGTCAAACAACAATCGACGACGGGATCCCTTCTCATCATCTCTTAAGCCATCGGTTGTCAATTCACCCACCCCGTTTCCCTAAAAATAGACGGTCAGATTCGGCCTGGGTTCCTTACCACCCCTCTAAATTCGCCAGAGACGGGATCGGATCGCCGTTATTGCATCCGTCTTAGTGTCTTAAATGCTATGACAGCTTCGACCACGGACGTCGGACGGGGTGATCGTTCCACGAATGTACGCACCACATCCAGGCCTAGGATGCATCGAGGTTTAAGGATGCAGTCTGTAGATCAATCAACAAACAATGGTGGTATGCAACCACTTTAAAATATCTCCCTGGCTCCCGCAACGTTCCAACGCCCCTCCGTTATGCATTCGCCCTGTGTGTCCGCCGAGCCGGCTTGCCTCCAATGACGTCATCGGCCGGCCGGCGGCGTTCAAGGTCAAACGGCTGGTGTCCTTACCTGGAGTTCTATAGCCTTGGGACGATTAAGGGATGAGGGATAGGAGCCGCAGGTCTGGAACCTTCGACTGAGGTTAGATATTGACCCGAGGAATCGATTGCGACCATTATTTTGGCGATCAGACGAAGCCTTGGGGCACTTTTGACGCGCCCCGTCCTTTAAGGGACGATTAGGGGATGAGGGATAGGAGCCACAGGTCTGGAACCTTCGACTGAGGTTAGATATTGACCCGAGGAATCGATTGCGACCCTTATTTTGGCGATCAGACGAAGCCTTGGGGCACTTTTGACGCGCCCCGTCCTTTAAGGGACGATTAAGGGATGAGGGATAGGAGCCACAGGTCTGGAACCTTCGACTGAGGTTAGATATTCACCCGAGGAATCGATTGCGACCATTATTTTGGCGATCAGACGAAGTCTTGGGGCACTTTTGACGCGCCCCGTCCTTTAAGGGACGATTAAGGGATGAAGGAAGGGAGCTAGGGCAAAATAAATGTCATATTCGTGTTTCCCGTCCCCCAATTGACCTGATGGCAGCTTTTGAAGCGATTCTGAATCCGACGCTGTATTCGTTGCTGTTGCTGACGCTAACTTCACGGACATAGGTACATACCTGTACAATTTTCAGTAGTGACTAGTGACAACAATATGCACACAGGTTTCTATTTAATTTTGTGATTTTATTTGTTGCAAATGGAAGCTCGTGAGTCGTGCTACATTTCGAGTACATTCGACTATTTTTGTGAACGATGCATTGTTTTGTCGCGCTTGTTCTCGTCCCGTCCATGCGCCGACTCCACATTATTCCGCGCGCTGACGGCGCCGGTCTCCCTCAGGGCAGCAGCGGCGCCCTGTCCAGCCAGCTGGACCTGGAGCTGGGGCTGACGCTAACCGGGCCCGGCGGCGGACGCTCGCGCTCGGTGCGCCAGCCCGGCTCGGCGGGCCGCTCCCGGCGCGTGCCGCGCGCCCGCTCGGCGGCGCAGCTGGTGACGGGCGGCGCCGCGCGGCCTCTCACCGGCTCCGTCTCGGCGTCTGCCGTCCCCCCTCCGGGCCGGCGGGGCTCGGTCCAGGCCCCCCAGAGCAGCGATCCGCCGTCCCACATCCTGCTGACGCCCGCCGAGCTGCACGGGCCCTCTGAGAGCGCCGTCCGGCCGGCCGGCGCCGGTCTGCAGCCGCCGGTGCGGCCGCTCCGCCGCTCCCTGGACGACAGGATGCTGCGGCCGCGACCGTCACCTCCAGAGCCGGCAGCAGGCTCCCAGCGGCTCCCGCGGCGCTCCCAGGAGGAGCGCGGGAGCCGGGACCAGCAGTGGGCACCGGCGCCGCCCCGCAGTCCGCGCCACGCCCTGCTCCAGCAGCACGTGAAGCACATCTCGCTGCAGCGGCTGCCGCTGCCGGGCGTCCCGCTCCGACCGCGGCCCGTGTCCCTACAGGAGACTCAGCTGTGCCTGGATCGCGTGTCCCTGGAACTGGCCCCTCTGTTCCAGCCGACCGCGGCGGAGGAGCGGCCGCCCCAGTACCAGATCTCCCCGCCAGAGGAGGGCGAGCCGCCAGTGTACCACTCGCTACCCACGGACCAGCCCCCTCAGTACCGCCCTCCTATCACCCAGGAGCAGGCGCCCCTGTACCGCCCTCCCACCTCTGAGGAGCAGACACCCCTGTACCGCCCGTCCCCCCAGAGCCCCTCCCTCTCCCCTCCCCGGTGCGGGGCCGACCCCGGCCCTCCGCTGGCCGGTCTGGACCCGGGCGCGCTGTACCGTCTCTCAGTCCTGCCGCGGTCGCCGTCCGACCCGCCGGGCCGGCCGCAGCGCGTCTCCCTGCAGGAGGTGCGCCTGGGCCCGGCGCCGGCCGCCGCCCGCCGGCCCCAGCGGGTCTCCCTGCAGGAGACGGGCGCTCACGGCGCCGGCAGGGACGGCCAGAGGAGGGGCCGCAAGTGCGGCGTCTCCGGTCACCACCCGGGCGCGCAGGGACGGCCCTGGACTCTGGACCTGGCCGAGCTGGCCGAGAAATGACCCTGGGACGGCCGACAGTCAGTGTCATAGCTGCAGCACCCCAACCCCGGGAGAGTCACCCGGGTCACTGAAATAGGAGCGCCCACCCACATAGCCTTCCCAGTACCTGATTTAACGCTAAGGTGAAAACCGACCCGTAAATGTGCAATACACCGTCAATGGATGAGATGAATTTTTATATTCCTTCCATTGACTTTTTGTAGAAGAAAAACCGAAACCATCAATGCACAATGTGGGCCAAGGAAGCAATTTTTCAACAGCGCACGACACTGCCATTCGCGGCAGTTGAATTTGCCTTACGCAATCACGACCCTCCAGCGTAAAAAACCTCAAGTGGTGTGTGGAGGCGCATGAGAGAGTATGTGAATGGTACGTTACAAAGTTTTTTTTTTTTTTTTGTAACACCACTAGACACAGATGAGAACGCTACCAGAAGCAAACACCCGTCATTAACTGTTTAGCCGTTCATTGGTAGTAAAAGCGAGCTACGTCACGCAAAGTTAGCTGAGCCCAGGGTTCAGCCATCCATTTAGCTAAATATGGACAAAATATATAAAAATACGATACACATGCACTATCAACTCGCTTGGTACAACACAATAGTGGGTACGACAAAATGACGCATTCAGTCCTTCGACGAACAAAAATGGCAGCAAGACGACCTAGGAAAAAGTTACAATTCACTGACATCAGCCCTATTCATCACGTAATCTACAAAAAGAGCAGAAAATTCGGCATCAGCACACAGGGGTGTCACCGCCGTCACTGAATACAGATGATCGGTGACAGCAGTGGGGCCAGCCACACCTCTCTAATGAGCAGCGGATTGGACGGGACGGGGATCCAGCAGACGAAAACACAGGGCGAGACGGAGGGATAGAGCGGCGACAGGTTGGCATTCACCCTACACACTGCCTCAATACACGGTACACCGGCGGGGCGAGGCAGCCCTACTCCAGCAGCAGGCAGGTGAGCTGCGTCGGAGCGGGGGATCGGCTGAGACCGGCGCTGAGACCGGGACTGCAAGAGGCCTACAGCACGGCGCACAACTACGCCACACACGTCCCCCGCTGACCCCAACTAAAGACAGGCAGCTCCATCCCCGGCTGGCAGCTCCAACGAACCAGCCTCCCACTGCCGACACAGACCGCTGCCCCAGATGGCGCCCCGCTCACTCCAATCATTCGCTATACGGACCACTCAGTCAAGCCTCACTCATCTCTCAGAACAGACGTCACTGAATCCCCCTCCCCCCCCCCCCGACAGCCGAGTCCCCCTGGTTACACACCGCCACACCTCGGGATGCGGTCTCAGCTGGGCGGCGTGTTCAGGAGCTCCTGATGCCGAGCACTTGCTCGAGCTCTGCGCGCTTCTGCTGCACCTTGCTGTAGAAGTAGCGGTGGACGGCTTCGTGCGCCCAGCCCTGCTGGTAAAACTCGGAGCGACGCTCCTCCTCCGGGTTACCGACCACGTCCGTGATGGTCTGTAAGAGAGAGGAGGCAGGTCAGGCGACGAACCGGTAAGGGTCAGCCAGGGGACCTGGGAACGGTGTGTGTGTGGGGGGGGGGGGGGGCGCAACAAGATATGGACATAATATGGACAACACAAGAAAGTCGTCAATTTCGTCATCATGGGCTAGGTATTGACGCTGAGGACATGGGTAAATTATACGACTTAAGACTCCTATTGGCAAAAGACGTCGGGAAAATGAACCGAGAAATGACGGATAAAACTCAACAGTTCAAGAATGTTTTATTGAACCTTTCACATCAATAGTTTATGAAACATTAATCAGAACGTTTTTTTTTCGTTAGTCTTGCTATCAAAAGCGTCTTTATTTTCTAGTCCATCCCAATATCTGCTGTCGCCCCCGGTTACCTTGAGGTCCCTGTTCTGCGAGACGAGCCACTTGTTGATGAACTGCTGCGGGTCCCTGGCGAAGCTGAGGAAGAACTCGCGGTTGATCTTGTACTGGTTGATGAGCTCCACCGTCTCGTGCACCTTGTTGTCGAGATTCTGGATCTCCTGCTGGCTGGCCGTCGACAGTAGGAAGTTGTTCATCTGCGTCTTCAGCGTGTCGTCCACCTGGCGGGGGAGCAGACGGTCAGCAGGTCAGCGGTACACGGTCGGTCAGCTCAGGTCAGCGGGGCACGGACGGTCAGCGGGTCAGCGGGGCACGGACGGTCAGCAAAGGTCAGCGGGGCACGGACGGTCAGCAAAGGTCAGCGGGGCACGGTCGGTCAGCAAGTCAGCGGGGCACGGACGGTCAGCACAGGTCAGCGGGTCACTGCCGGTCAGCACAGGTCAGCGGGGCACGGCCGGTCAGCACAGGTCAGGGGTGCGGTCACGGCTGGTAGATGTGATGGGGTCGTGGTCGGTCAAACGGTCGGAAGGTAATTATAATCGTGGGCTTATTTCGACCACAACAGAAAAAGCACGAGGGCTTAAAGAGCTATGGGGCACTGACTAAGAAAACAAAACTGTCAAAACATGGGGCATAAAACTCCCCTGCAGTACCTGGCATATTACAAACACTCGTCAAACAAACAAAACTCAAGCAATATCTACACTGACATCCCTCTGGTTCACCGAATATGTCGTCCTCCCTCTCTCCCTTCCACCCCGCGCCTCACTGACCTCGACCTCGATGTCGTAGCAGGCGGTTTTCTTCTGTTCGGCGCCCTCCACGCTGATGGTGTGGTTGATGACGATCGGGTCCGGCGGGTGCAGCAGTGAGTTCAGACGGTGCGGGATCTCGGCAAACTTCATCCGCGGACACTGGAATATCTGCTCCAGGTACCGGTCGCAGTTGACGTACTCGCGCTCACTCTGGTCCTGAGGGTCGGGTCAGGTCAGGTCAGGTCAGGTCAGATCAGGTCAAGGTAGGTGACTTAGGGTAATCAGCACAAAATAAAGCTGAAAAGGGGTCCTGAATGATGCCTCCGGCTTCAACAATCCACTCCTCCAAAAGACCACCGGGCTGGTCCAGTGGAAAAACACCCTCGTAGCCACTCACTTCCCCCTCTCTTCACCACAACTCCTCTCCGTCCGATACGCACCTGCAGCCGGTTGTGTTTGACGTACTGCCACAGCGCCTGTGTGATGACCGGCCGCGACTGGGTGTGCACGCCCAGCAGACGCGCCAGCCGCGAGTCCAGTTTGAACTGCGGCGGCTGGTAGTCGAGCAGCAACAGGATCGTGCAGCGCACGTTCTTGTCGCCGGGGCGCTTCACCTGCGGCGGCACATACAGAGGGTTGAACGGCTGATAGGTAGGGAAGGCAGGATCGGAATAAATCAATAATGGTAGTGGGATAAAACGGTTTCAACTCGAATAAAAAATAGCAACACTAGCATCTGCAAACTGGATAGCTATCTGGATGGTCTGCAAACAAATCTGTCAGTCTCCTGGGTGGTGGCCGTCCGGTGGTTACTGGATACCCAGTGGGTAGTTAGTATATCACGGAACCTCACCTGAAATCCGTCCGTCTCCTGGGTGGTGGCTGTCCGGTGCCACTCCACCAGATGGTTATCGGGGCCGTACAGATCCTTGTCCAGCTCAATCACCAGAGACTTGAAAAACGACGAAAACTTGCGCTTCGCCTGCAGCGGGACAGTGATAAGGTAAGTTAGAAGGTCTGCTATGTCTTAAAAAAACTATCGATACGTGAATAAGACCGCATACTGAAGACACTACACAAGCATCAAACACCCGGGGGGAGGGGGGGGGGGGGGGCGAGGGAGGATCAAGTCACCGGAGCGCGCCGTCGTACCTTGCTGGCGTCTGCCTTGCTCTCGTCGAGCAGTTTGCCCTCGACTCTCAGCTCCCAGGAGGAGGAGCTGCCCGAGTCGGCCTCGCCCTCGGCCGGCTCCTTGGCCGGGAAGTACGTGTTCGAGATGAAGATGCGCAGCTTCCGCTTCTGCTTCAGCGGACGCTTCAGCGCCTCCTGAGGAGTGGAGAGGGGGGGGGGGTGAGAAGGGCACCAGAGACTTAGCAGATAAAGTGCCGGAAGCCATGATCGCTATCGGCCAAATTTCAGCCAACTTACCGCTACCAGCTACATTTTCGGGTAAATGCCTTGATACTCGTCTACGGCCATACCCAGCTTCAATTCTCAAACATCCCATATGCAATACCAAGCATACAACAAATCTGAACCCTCCCCTGAAAGTCATTCGACATTGGCTATCATGGTTTGCGGAAACATGTGAGCACAAGCTAGCGAGAAAGAGCCGTGATCTGTGGTCTGATACCAGTCTGTATGGCACACCTCCTCACCTGAATATCGAGTCGTTTCCTCATGATGGTGGCGTCCAGTTTGCGCTCGAAGGCCAGCAGGTCCATGTAGGCCTGCGACTCCGGCACCAGGTCCCGCACCTTCCACGGCAAAATCTTATCGGCCATGCGCTTCTTCTTCTTCGCGCTGGGAGACACATCGTTACCTATGTTAGCTGAGTTTGACAATGCAAAGTTGAAAATATGTGAAGCATAAAACATGCCAAAACAACTTGTGCGTATTTCACGCAGAGTCCGTAATGACCAATACGAAACGCCTACGAAATGCGTATCGGTGATGCCTATGGGCCGCAACAAATACGGCCACGATCGGCGTCCACCGACCTTTTGAGGGGCTGGTTGGCGAGGGAGCGTCCGTCCGAAGACCGTTTGCTGCTGGACTGCATGGCCGGCGGCCGGCTGGCCGGGTACTGGTTCTGCACCATGCTGCCGCCTGCAACAGCCAATACAAGAGTTACACACGGCCGCTGGTGCGTGAAACAGCCACACCACACTGGCAGACTGCTGAAACATTGCGCTCAGTGTTGGTGACTTGGTGTACGCTGAAAAACAAAATTTCACTTTAAGCGACGTCATGACTGTCGACTGACGCTAAACCCAGACACAATCATGTGACTGTGAGAGCCCTTATATCAGTCAGTCACGTCAATCCAGTCATATCATTGATTCTTTGGCTTGATAACACCTACGAGCCATGACTACCAGCGACACACACCTGAGCGCTGCATCATGTTCTGGCTGCTGCTGGAGGGGTACTGGCCGCCGTGCTGGGACGGCATACCCTGCTAACAACAGACGACACAGTGTGTCACAGACCAGCAGTCTGACAGCTGGGCCATACGAGCAATCAAATCCATCGAACCCACCACTGGGTTCAACAAAACATTTCAAACACATTGAAACATCTGTAAAAATGAATATGAAGGTGAAATCAGCCTCCAACACTAGTCAGTATGTAATTCACTGCTGCATGTTTTCACTGGACCACATAGCAGTTTATTCGTTCCTTCATTTACCAATTTCACCAAATGGACTCACTAACTCATTGACTGATACTAATACTGAGCTGATACACTTACTAGCTGAAAACACACTAAAACTGACCAGTGACTAAGTAACAACTCAAACACACACAGTATCATCCATCGGATTACCTGCCCTCACAGCTCACTGCCACTGAAACTGAGTCATTGCCACGCTGACTGACTGACTGACAGCCAAATCCAGCACCTGCTACCGAATGCCTGCCACACCAACTGACCGAGTAGCCGGGGGATCCGTATGAACGCATGCCCGGAGCAGCGCCAGGCGCTCCGAAGCGTGCCTGCTGTCCTGTCATCCCTCCCGACTGCATCTGACTGTCAGCTGCACCCGAGGGGAACCCCGGCGGACGGGCCGACATCACAACAGCTGCTCAGAAATCCTGCCAACCCATGGGCACTGGTAAGTGGTAATCTGTGACATACAATGAAATATAATGTGACTGTCATCAAAACTCAGAAGCCTGATGTTCAACTACATCAGTGGTCGGCAGGCCTTCCGGGGTCGTGCCCCCTTTTCGGGCGCCAGGCAGGGCCATTACCCCCACCCTACCAGACACCATTGCATACACAACCGAGCTCACTGAAATGTCATACCTTTCCGTGACTCTTTTGTATTTCGGGTATTAATATGTAAAAACGTCGGATCACGACACAATTTTACCCTCGAGCCGATCATTTTTTTATCTGCCATAAAACATGTCATACATTGACAGAAATAATTGTTGACTTGTTAGGCAGGTATATGTTAGGTATATGTTCAAATGGTTGCGAAATTCTAGCTACAATGTATAAAATTGATAAACCTGTACTGAAAATGTCATCGCGATCGGCCGCTTTTTGCGCGAGTTATTCGCGAAAACCCGAGGAAAAGGGGGTCCCCTATAAGTGCGAAGGTTAAAATTGGGTAGCAGCGTCTTCCTATCGTCACGGGTAGCACGTTCATTTTTCTACCGCAAAGCTCCAGTTCAGATTTCAGAGGCCGAGAGGCTGGGGTCCGACCGGCCCCTCCCCGTTTACGTTAGCTGTTATGAAAACGCCAATAGAGGGGCGACGGTTAGCGTTCGATCTTTGAACCCTGAGACCAAACAGGCGTGATGTCTGTCCCATCAAGGGAGACATTAATTCTAAGATAAGGCTTTCTCAGAGGCCCCCATTACCCCCCGCCGAGGGGCTCCATTACCCCCAAAGGGGGCATGCCCCACCATTTGCCGACCCCTGAACTACATTAATGGAAACTGCCAACCTATGGAGCAAGATTAGAACGATCCCCTCCTCAGTTGGGCAAACTAGACCTTTGGAATCAAAATATGGAGGCATCAATAATTTGATTCTGGTGCATCAATAATTTGATTCTGGTGGGAGGAGCCATGACCAAATATGGGCATGGAATCAATTTTTTGATTCATTTGGGTACACTTTTGACTTCAAATGTATCGTTACGGTTGAAAAAAGGCCCATGACGGTGAGATTTTTCTCTAAAAAGGTAGAAAAATGTGGTAGGTTTGCAAAAAGTGTTACCCCAAAACTAAGAAATTGTCCCTTTGGCCTTGTGAATGGGAATAAGACAGGGCCACTGTCCATCACGTAAGAGCTGTTTTGAGGAAATCACACTGTATGTTATTTTTGTATCATGAATCACATACTAACCAATCAGTATTTGTGTAAAATGGCAAAATGAAATTTTCAAACCCCTAATTATCATTATTTTAGTGCTTTTATATTTATTATATGGTTTTTACCTGTTGCTTCAGTTTTTGTATTCTTGACCTTTAAAAATTGTGAATTGTTATCAAACGTAGTGAAGGTAAAGTACAACAATGCTATAGGTATCTGTTGTGGTGCTGAGGATACCACTAAATGAGAATAATAGCAAGATAAATATTGTATTCTTGCAAGTCATTGTTGCCTATCTGTTAACATTACCTGTGAATCAAAATAATGATTAGCCAGCTGATGGGGAATCAATATTATGATTATCTGTATGAAGTGAATCAATTTCTTGATTGCCTTTCACTACCTATAGAATTCAAATTGTTATGATAGGAGCAATATTATTTTGTTTAGGAGATAGTTCCAGCATTTCTGTTCAAGATCAGGCATGCTCCTTCTTGAAACACTCTCTTATTTTTATGTGATTGGTAAGTTAGAAATGGTCTGCATTTATGCCCAAATATGGTCATAAGGAATCAATCTTTTGATGCCTCCATATTTTGATTCCAAAGGTCTAGTTTGCCCAACTGTCCTCCCCTCAATTTGAATTGTGGGAAGGCAGGTCAGTGTTATCACTCTGCACTCAAGCTCAATCGGAATTTGAATTGGAATCCATGAGAATCTCAGCTTGAGCTGGGATGCGGCTTGCTAAACAGCGCTGTCATAATAATATCATACCCTAGGGCTTGAGCAGTATGGTAAATATGCTACGACGATCAAAATACAGAATTAACGAGGCCTTCACAAAATTCAAGCCCAAGAGTTTGCAGAGTTCTATGGAAGCTGCGATGCAATTGGCAAGCCAAGCCAAATCCAAGCTAAATCCAAGCTAAATCCAAAATCCAAAAAAGCCAAATCGATGCATCGATGCTTGCGACAGAAACGATGGTGTTGAGACAAAATTGAGTGTAAGCAATCCTATCTTTTTTTGACGCATATATTCACCAATTTAGCCATATACAGATTTGATCAACTATAAATTTAAATTTGTGCACTTTGAAGAGTTAATCTGACCTATTTGAGTTCTATTTGAAATCTTTTTACAAAATATATCGGAACCAAAATATTTTACGTCATTTATCTGAAGCTGTAGTTCCCTCAGCTCGCGTGAATACCAGGGGGGCATTTATTACTAATATCTATCGATATTTTGATGGTATCGATAACATTCGATAGACCTGAAGATACCTGATACCTGATACCTGATATTTGGGGATCGTTGAAGGCACTAGGATTGCCCGGTGGATCCGTCGTAAAGAGCTCGGGTAGCATTAACAGTCTTATCTATTGTGGAGCGATGAAGGCATAGTTCATCCAGTGCTTGTCCAGCCGGTTCTTGAAAACATTTGTCGATGGCGAGCAGACAACTTCTTCTGGTAGGGCGTTCCAGTCCGACACAACCCGGGTGGCGAAGTGGTTGCGCCGGACGCGGCTGACCGCTGGCTTCTTGGCCACCTTGAGTCGGTGGCCGCGGGTGCGTGTACTTGGGGCGGGCGAGAAGAAGTCGTCCTTGTCCAGGCCGGAGCGTCCATGCATGATGTTGAACATCGTAATCATATCTCCGCGTCGACGGCGGTACTGGAGGGAGGGAAGTTTAAGACGCTTCAGTCGTTCTTCGTAAGGCAGATGCCGAAGTCCAGGGACAAGGCGCGTAGCCCGTCGCTGAACCCGCTCCACCAGCCTCACGTCGGTCGTGTTGAACGGGCCCCATACTTGATTGCAGTACTCTAGGTGCGGGCGAACCATTGTCTTATACAGCAGAGGAAGTGTCTTGGAATCGATGTGGACGAAGCTGTGCTTGATCAGGCCGAGGGTTCTGTTGGCCTTGCCAATGGCGGTCGCCCCTGCGGAGGTTAACAAGATTAATTGATATCAAATTATGACATTCATAATTTTTGTTTGGCAGGGGAATATGTGAAAAAATAGAACGACAAATGCATATTATTTTCTAATAAGGCAGCAGTTTTACAAATGAAATTAAATGAAGGACAGTCTGTAAATGAAACAAGAATTCACGGTTTGAGCAAAGGTAGGCATTCTGTTGGTAGTTGGTACAAACGACTTTTAGCTCCGTGGTACAGACAAAATGCATGATAATCCCATGATGAAGGTAAAAAACACTACTTATCTGATCTTAAGGCTGTTCATCGCAGGGATATCACAAGTGTTCAAGCATGGGTTTGTGAAAAGCAGATTTGCTCACTGCTGCATTTACTTTTTTTTTACTGTGCGATGTGTGCTATTTTTGAATCAGTTCCATTCAAATGGAAACAGGAAAACTTATTTGCTAAAATTCAATGTTATGATATGTGGGAAAAAAGTCAATTGGGCACTAAAAGCAGCTGTTAGTAGCGTAAGATTTCCATCTCATCGATATAAAACTATGCAACAGCTGATTATGGTATTGGCCTTCTTCGCCCTCGTCATAAACGCAAACCTTGGTTATTGAGATTTTGTTCTGTGGTGTTGATGTGCTTTGTGTCAAATTTGTTTTGTGCCGTGTGTTGAGAGGCTGGGGGAGATGGAAAGAGTTTTTGGCTAAATTTTGCGACAGGTGTGAATGCTGTGATTTTCTGGATATTTCTTCAGTGGTTTTGACCTCTGTTTTGACTTTGAAGCCTAATTAGCAAGGGCTAATAAAGCAGACAGCTCGATTATTCACTTCAACTTGCGCATTAACTTCAACTGAGGCTGGTAAATGCAGCGTGGCCTGCACTTGGCCTGCTCTGAACCCATGGTCACATTTGGCTGAAGTATTTATTTGACCATAAATAAAAGAGTCCAGATCAAGGTAATCTTACCTGGTGCATACATTCTAATCATACCAGTTGCGCTATTCTTGAGCTTGTAGCCAAAGCCAAGGCCAAGCTCCATAATAATGCTTTGAATTCATTGCATTGATTACATCAAGATATTATCTGCTTTGATCATCAACCTGTAGTCCTCTTGATTGCAGTGAAGTGGTAGAAAACCAGATGAAGCCTTTAATATTCATTGTATGACACTATTAATGCGCCTTTGCTGATTACCTTTGAGCTCTAAATCTGTTATTTTTATGCTGCATAAAAGCATAATTTGAATTCACAAGTATCCTTGGCTGATCTAAGAAGTTGATAAGCTCAAGCTTTGGCTGTTACGCACCAAGCAACAACCTGAAGATGGCTTCTAGAAGGTGAGAAATTTGTATTTTTGTATTTGTGAGCATGTAGAGTGACTAGACACTACCTACACTTTGTTTCCACAGTGGTTGATTTAAGGTGCTACTTCTTACAAGAATTGATAAATACATTGTGTACAAACATTTAAAGCTAATGGCCTTATGAAATGAACAAAATAAGTTGGCACTGTGGCACCCTTTAATATTTGATGTTTGGCCATTGGCTCTCTAATAATAATGTTTTTATGGCTGTACAATGCACATGCATGTTGGAGGATACCTCAACCTAGTGCAGGGAATGTTTGTTAATTGTTAACATTACAGGAATACCTACCTGCTCTCAATAATCTTCCTCCTTGTAATGTGAACTTCAGGTAATGAGGCATGAAGTCTATATAATGAAACAGCTGAAATCATATGGATGCAAACCATTTGTATAGGCATGTTTATTTAAGTTTAGGACCAATTAGTACAAATATTGAAGCAAAGCACATTACTCCATTCACTTTGTGGTTATTTAGCATTAGCACTTGTCTCAATCACTGACTGAATCACCAATAGGTCCTGTGGGGTATGCAGAGTAGATCTCACGCAGTGACGGCCGTTCCCGTATATCGGCGCGGCGATCGTCTGTATCGGTCCCGCTGATCGACAGCTCTGGTATGGTGTGTGACCGGGCTGGGAGTCCCCGCACCTGCCCGGCGGCCGCCGGTGGCACAGCACTGGACGGTGACCTGCCGCCGGTGGCACTGCGCTGGACGGTGACCTTCCGACGCCCCCGGCCGGTGACCTGCCGCCGGTGGCACAGCGTCACCGCTGGACGGTGACCTGCCGCCGGTGGCACAGCGCTGGACGGTGACCGGCCGCTGGTGGCACAGCCCTCGGCCGGTGACCTTCCGACGCCCCCGGCCGGTGACCGAGCTCCCACCTCTCGGTCGGGTCGGTAGCTGAAGCGGCAATCAAAGTAGGAGCTGCCTCCGCTGGATCGCAGTGAAGTCGGTGTAATCTCAGTTCGGTAGTGATGGAACAAGTCGCACAGGTAGACGTGTCGGAATTTCAGTCTGTGGCTGAGGTCGATATGCCTCATAGAGCTCGATGGTCTTATCCGCATTGCTCATCACAATTAAATCAGCTCGCAGTTCGTCTCTATGCCATCGCCCATAGTATTGAGCCAGCTCCAAGGTCCGTGACGGAATAGCTCATCCTATTCGGCCTGTGGATAAACTTGGCAACAGGCGGCGGAGAGATGGGCCGAAATATATTCGCTAATGCCGATGTCAGCCGCTCATCCTTGAACATTGGCCATATTCATGGCGAAGCGGAAGCGCCGTGTGCCTGGCAACTGCCGAGCCCGTAGGAACGGAGCGGCAGGGCGGGGCGCAGCCAGGTGCCACCCCGTATTGTCAACTCTGAAGATTATTCTTGCCGTAAACTAGCCAAGTGAGGCTTTCAGCACGCTGAGCTCATGCGACTGTGAGCATGTTGGAACCGTATATCGAGAGGCCGTCAGTCTCTTTGAATGGCTCTTGGATAATAACGTGACTGGATATTTGCATAATGGTAGCCATTCGTTGGGTTTTTATTGGAAAAATTCCTTTCCTTGCTATTCAGTTAGAATCGGGTTATAAATAGCTCCCGGTGACATACCGGCGAGCTTAAATTAGGCTCTGCTTCTCTCACTCCGCTGCCGGAAATAAGCATTTGAAGGCCAGACGGGCGGTACCACCATGCTGCTGGACAGGTTCCCCCCCCCCCCCCCAGTCTGCTAGCTCTGTTTCTTCCTGCCAGAGACGCGGCACCAGCCCTGTCTGGAGGAAGCGATGGACTGCTCCGGTAGGCCCGGGACTGCTCTGGAGGGCCCGTTTTTGGAGGGCCCGGGATCGCAGCGGAGGACCTTCTTGTTCAAGAATACTCCTCCTATTTTCAAGGGTCTGCTGAGGAGCACCCGAGTCGAGGTTTTCGTCTCTGAGACTGGTTCAGCCCAGGTCGAGTGTTCCCCGCCCGTTCCTCAGGGCCCCGGTCGGAGTGTGTTCCCCGGCTCCTCCCCGCTCCTCAAGGCCCGGTCGGAGTGTGTTCCCCGGCTCCTGCCCGCTCCTCAGGGCCCCGGTCGGAGTGTGTTCCCCGGCTCCTGCCCGCTCCTCAGGGCCCCGGTCGGAGTGTGTTCCCCGGCTCCTGCCCGCTCCTCAGGGCCCGGTCGGAGTGTGTTTCCCGGCTCCTGCCCGCTCCTCAGGGCCTCGGTCGGAGTGTGTTCCCCGGCTCCTGCCCGCTGCTCAGGGCCCGGTCGGAGTGTGTTTCCCGGCTCCTGCCCGCTCCTCAGGGCCCGGTCGGAGTGTGTTCCCCGGCTCCTGCCCGCTCCTCAGGGCCCGGTCGGAGTGTGTTCGGCCGCCTGCTCGGCGGGGCCCGGGTCGATACTCGGCTGGCCCCGGTCCCGGCGGCCGGGTATCGCGGCGGCGCGCGGCCGGGCGGCTCCTCCGCCGCGCCGCTCCGCTGTGTTGCGGGGCCGTCTGTGCCGCTGGGGAAACCCTGCACGCGGCCGCGGACATCACCCGGGGCGGACTGCACTGGGGGCGGCATGTTTGGCGAGTTCTCAGTTCCCCGGCGGCGGCCGACCTGCCGGCAGACAGCCGATCCGGTCCGCTCACCGAAACGACAAAACGCTCAGACATGGACAGGCCCGACTTTTTCGAGACCGA